ACGGTCAATAGTGCAGCAATAGGATGAAGGCTCTTAGAATTCAAACTAATAGTGAAGTCCCAACCTATACTTTTCTTCATGAATTCAGCAGTTTTGGTAAACTTTTTCTTCCTGGATTCATGAGGCTTCAAGGATCAAATGCTGTGCCAAATAAAAGCAATAGTGATTAAAGAGGGGCTGTAGTATGGTTGTTCTCTCTGATTAGCCAGAAAATCACAGCTAGAAAGGTTGGTTGATGACAGAACCACAGATAGCAAATACCCAAATCAGAAGCATCATGGTACAAGGCTAATCAGAGGGAACAACCAAACTACAGGCCCTCTTTAATCACTGTTGCTTTTATTTGGCACAGGATTTAATTTGGGGAACTAAATAGAGATCCCTTTGACCATTTCTTACCCCATATTTCCTCCTCATTTTCTTCAGGAGACCCTGAATCTGGGCTTCCTAATAAAATTCTTAATTTCTTAGCAATACTTATAAAGTAATACAATTCATTAATACATGAATCTCCCCAAATAGACATTCTGGCATGAAAAGAGGCCTAAGTGAGTAAGTGCCCGAAAATGAGCTCATTCAAGGGAAACTAATATTTGGTCTAATTAATCTGGAAGTTCTCTTGATACATTTCCTTATGTTATGTTGACACTTCTGTGCTTCAGAGTGAGAGGGGGCATCAAGGTAGAAGGACCAAGCTTAGAAAAGAATTCTTGCAGGAAAGTGATTTTTTATTTTATTTTCTTTTAAGCTATGGGACTATTCCATTTTAGAGAGGAATATGCAAATTGCGGTGTATATGTACAGATACAAAGTTTTAAATGTATTGGTTAAAAGATACCAAGCATTACTTTTTGAATAGTTTATCTCCGAGGCTTAGTTTAAGTGCTCTCATGCGATATGAAATGTTTGCCCTGCAGGTAAGCCAGAGCCCTTGAGGAAAACCAGCCACTGCAAGCTGATAAGGGAGAATTAATGTCACCTAAGAGTAATAGCTACAATATTCATGAAGATGATACACAACTGGTACAAAATAAATGTCCACAAAATATTACAACCATATTTGGTTGATATGCTCAGACCAGGGATGTGAGCTTCTTAGTATCTGTTAATCTATTCATTTTTTGCATTAAATAAAATCATTATTTACTATAAAAAGTATAATTAGTCACACTAATATTCTTCTTTTAAAATTGTTTTTTTGTTGGTTTGGATTTTCGCCATATACTTTCCAGGATAGTCAAGACATCTCAAGGTTGGCTGCAGAAGGAAAGGAGAGCGAGGCCACATTTTCAATAAGGGCGAATTCACTTATTTTTCTTGGTAATGAGTGGCTGTTCTCAAGCAAAACAAAACTCATAGTTGAGACTTCAAACTGTTCTCAAACACAACCACTCACAGTGTGAGACTTCATGATAAAACTTGTTTGTATAAAATACTTGGCATGTGACTGAAAACCTCATGAGAGCCATTGTAAAAATGAGCTTGGATAGAATAACCTATTAGGTGTCAGTAAAAAATAATATAGTACTTTAAGTTGGGAGTCATGCCAACCAGCCTACATGAAATAGAAAATAGATACAAATCTCACTGTGTTAGGATTTTTAAAAAATGTAAATGCAAACAATTTTTTTGGCATAGATGTAAAATAGCCCTTCAAATCGATATGGGACAGATGCAGATTTTAGCATTGCTACCTATATTATATTTCTTTTAGAAGGGACAAATAAAGTGACATTTATCTTGAGAAAGTTTATTGGTGGAATTATTGTATAAATAAATGCATTTAGAATTATCAGTAGAAAATCAAACAAGGAGTTAATATAGTCTTAACACTTTGATTTACTTTACATAAAGAGTGGAAATATTTGAATAATTTGATCAGAACAGTGGTTCTCAACCTTTAAATACAGTTCCTCATGTTGTGACCCAACCATAAAATTATTTTCGTTGCTACTTCATAACTGTAATGTTGCTACTGTTATGAATCATAATGTAAATATCTGATATTCAGGATGGTCTTAGGCTACTCCTGTGAAAGGGTCGTTCGACCGCCAAAGGGGTTGCGACCCACAGGTTGAGAACCGCTGGATCAGAAAGATGGTTTGCTTCATTTGATTGGAAAACAGATGCTTTCTTATTCTTCTCAACCACTGTGCATGGTTGAGTTGTTGCTGCCTGGGAAAGTTTAATCATCTGAATAGAATTTGGAGATATAGTAGGACTGGTCATCAAATTTTCACTGGGAGTCTTGTCCAGTACTTCGATCATTATTGTATTATGACAGTGCTTGAGGACATACATGGGAAATATTTCCATATGTATAGGGATGTTAACAATGATTATGGGTATCAGGTGGCAAAGTCAGGTCTCACCCTGCCAGCGGTATGAACTAGATTGTCATTTGCTTTGGACATGAAAGATATTAAACAACACCAAACTTCCAGTCTGAGATTGGATGCTTAAATTTTTCTGCTTCATTGAAATTATTATTCAGAGGAGTCAAGCCTTATGCTACAAGGTCAAGGACATACAATTATGACTCCAGAGGAGGCAGTATTTAAATTTGATTTAGGGGTTACTATTTCCATTGAATATATAGAGACATGCAGATCTGCATGTTTCAAAGGATTATGCATGTTTCATGATTCATGGAGAGAACTGGCAGATTTCTTTTAAAAATGTCTTGTTTGCAATGGCTTGCTGAATTTCATTGTTATGGTCACTGCAAAGGACTCACTTTCCAGCTTTTGTCTAGACTTGAAGGCTCAAGTATGGTTTGCCCTTGAGAAACTCACACTGTGCGAGATTCTCTGTATGTAACCTTCTTTTCCATCCTGAACCTCTGTGTGGTACCTACTCATCATTCAAGATTCAAGTATACCTGCCCTTGAAACACTTTTCTGATCATTTCCTTTAGGTGTAATGGCCACTTCATCTCATACAGACATATTTTTATAGCACATACAAAATGACATTTTAGTTTTCATTTTCAGACCTGTCCCTTCCACTCTAAATTCCATGAGGGTATAAGACAATGTCTTCTTTCTTTTCCTTCCTTCCTTCCTTCCTTCCTTCCTTCCTTCCTTCCTTCCTTCCTCCCTCCCTCCCTCCCTCCCTCCCTTCCTTCCTTCCTTTCTTCCTTTTTTTTTTCCCGACTACTCCTTTTCTTCCTTCCTTCCTTCTTCAGCTATGAAAGAATATAGTTTATTTTTAAATATAATAAACTCTTAAATCATCTTTTGCTTAATTTATCTGAATTATAGTACATTTCCATCAGAACACATAGTTATGAATTTATTACATGTATGCATGTATTCCCTATAACAAATAAATCAGTATTCTAATCAAATAATTTAACATGTTTTCTTTTTTTCAATTACAGTTTACATTCAATAGTATTTTTTATTAGTTTCAGGTGTACAGCACAGTGGTCCCTGTGCCTAGTCCAGTGACTATCTCAATAAGTGTTACAGGAATGGGATTTTAATTGGAGGGATAGGCCCACATACAAAAGATAACACTAGAAAAGCATATATAGTAAGGGCACGATTAGTTGTACGGGCAGTAAATAACATTGGAGTTCAGTGGGACTGTTGTCAGGGGAAAGGTGCCTGAGGAAAATCTCCAGAGAGGGTAGATAAAGGAAGAGAAAGGAGGAGTGTGATGTTGACAAGAAATAAATAGGTGAGGGCATTTCAGACAGGAAAGAAACAGTACAAAGGGATAATGAGCTTGTGATAGAGATAGGTTACATGACCAGTTATTACATAACGAAAGACTTTTGTGATGGTGTTAGAAAAATGAAGATAATGTTGTTAAAAAAAATATATGCCCTGATTGGGAAATAATGTTGAAAAAGAAAAGATTAAAAAAATACACAATTTAAATTGAAGATGCCAATGTTATTGTAGGCATAAATTTTGGAGTCATTTATGTATCTCTAACTGAAGTCTTAAAATTGGATAAGTATTTGATGAAGAGAGTATAAAAGATGTGTGAGTTATAAAGGGTTCAAATTGCTTATTGATTTTTTTTATAAACATAATGTTGGACTTAAGTTTATGAACATTTCCCTAATATGCAGGACCAATTGCAGGCAGAAATAGGGTTTAGGATCCCATTCTGATGGCACGCATATCATTGTGTTGTGCATAAGGATGAAATTAATATATTAAATCAATGGAATGGAGTGTACCCAGAGCCTCATCATCATTACAAATGAATTACATCCAGAGCCAAGCCATTTTGATGATTTAGATGATGGGATTTGGGAAGTTGGAGCTAATGAGATTTAGATGAGATTTTTGGATTTTGAGTTGATAATATAATGGGATGAAACCTTTGGAGACCTTGAAGGGAGTGAATGTATTTTTCATACATGAAGGACGTGGATCATGGGGCTATCGGGTGCATGATGGTAGGTATTTTGACCGCCATGACTTTTGCCATTTGGTTCCTGCTTGTTGGTGGTTTTATTTTATTTGGCAAAAAGATTTTGTAGATATTATGAAGGTTAATAATTAGCTGACCTTAAGATAGGAAGATAGTTCTGGATTATCTGAGTGGGACCAGTGCAGTAACAGGAGCCTTTAAATGCAAAGGTGGAAGGTGGAACGGGAAGTCAGAGTGATGTGGGAGAAGAAGTCAGATTCAGAGTGTGAGAGGGATTTGATGTGCCCTTGCTGCCTTTGACAATGGAGGGGTTGTCATGAGCCGAGGAATGCAAGAGGCCTCTGGAAGTTGAGAATGTACCCTAGCCAACAGCCAGTGAGGAAAAAGAATTTTATTACTGCAGCTGCAAGGAAATATATTTTGTCCATAACCTGAATGAGCTTGGAAGCGAATCCTTCCCAGAGCTGCTCAATAAGAGCTCTGTAGGCTGACACCTTGATTTTGGCCTCATAAGAACCTAAGCAGAGGACCCAGGAGAGAACCTAGAGATTGTAAGAAAATCAGTGAATATTTTAAGCTATCAAATGTGCAGGAAACTAATACAATGAATATTGGTACCCAGTCAGATTGTAAATAGGTTAATGGCATAGAAATACACAGTGTGTTTGGATCTCACTATCTCACACCCTCTTGTGGAAGAGGAGGATGAAATTTAAGAACTGCAGCCATAAACCATGGGTACTTCCACTATTGGGGTTTTTGAGGATCATTGCCTTTCTTGAGAGTGGCCTTTCATGGTTGACTTCATACCAATTAACAGACACAACTTCCTTAAGGAGCAAGAGCTCTTAAACTTCCTTGCTGGCTCTTTCCCAATTCTGTATGCCCCCTTTCCTTGATATAGTGGGACCCACATTCCTTGGTCCTCCTCAAAGTCATATCAATTCTATGCATACACAGGCACATATTCAGCCACTCCACCCCTTCCCTTTAATAGCCAGAATGGTGGAGTACTGTTGTTTGTAGGCTCTTGTCTGGCCTGACTTCTGTAGGGAGTGGCACAGCTCTTACACTAGCAAACATCTCCCTTAGCTGCAGCCAACGTTGCTTCTCAGTCTGATATGTGCTTGGAATAGGGTAGATATAAAAGTGGGAAGAGAGTCCAATTGCTAAAGCAGGCTCAGCCTGGGAGTCCATATAATGTATGGGATGGAGCAGAGAGAATAGTAGAATATACCTCACACATTTCCTACCCCCAAGGCCAACTCCACTACCTCTTTATTTTATATCTTTATTTTTTGTATTCAGATTAATATTTTTTATTGAAGTAAAAATTCACAGAACATAAAATTCACCATTATAACCAATTTATAGTATATAGTTCAGGGATTTTAGTATAATCACAATGTTGTGTAACCGTCACTATTACATAATTCTAGATCATTTTCATCACCCCAAAAAGAACCCCTGTCCCCACGGAGCAGTACCTCTCCATTTCTCCCTTCCTCTACCCACTGGCAACCATTAATCTGCTTTTTGTGTCTATAAATTTGCCTCTTCTGGACATTTCATATCAATGGAATCATACTATATGTGTCCTTTTATGTGTCTTTCTGACACCTCTCTAAGTGCTATTGCCCTGATAGGCCTCTAGTTTTTATAGTTACTTATATATATAATCAGCTTTTATCCAGTTAAATTAGATCTACGGTGGCTGTTTTAACCAACTGTGTGAGTAAAATCACCAGAAACTCGGTTTACTTCTTAATTCTAGTCTTTCTGGGTCTTATAGAACAGCGGTCGCCAACCGGTGATCCACGGGCCACTGGTGGTCTGTGAGGTCTGAAAAGTTGGTGACCGCTGTTATAGAACATTTTCAATCTCTGGAGAGAAAAAACACACTTTTTTTAAAGGAAAAAAGCGTTTTCAGTTCTTCAAGACTCATAGGAAAACCTCATGAAGATGTGGATATTTTCCAAACCATACATTAGTAAAAAAGTAAATGTTAATAGTTGGTATATGATTCATTTAATAGCATTGGGCATCATTTCCCTGAAAAACTTCATTGCCAGGACTGTGGGTGTCATTTTCCATTTCTCATTATAACTTGCTCAATAGCTGGATCAGATTTTCTTTAAAATTAGGGCCTATGCACCTACAATAAATTGCATGGCAATGAAAATTCTCATTTTGCAAGAGTTAATGCAACTGAAAATGGTACCCAGCCAAATCTGGGTCAATAAGGTTAAAAACAACATGCCATTCAGCAATCAATTTCATCCTGAAGAAGGTCCAGGCCATAGAAATGGTCAAGTCTGTGGCCAGCATTGGGGATCGAGGAGGTAGAGCACTTAGCATCATTTTTACCTTGTTTTGGTTTACTATATCATTAGTTAACCTTTTACCTTTTCTATTGTTTTGTTTCTAGGCCTATAGTACTTAATTTGGTCGAAGAGAGTGAATGGTTAAGGAGAGGTTTGAAATACAGGAATTGTAAATAGATGAATATAACTATCAAACACCAATCTATAAAAATACCACATTTTTGATGTTTGCAAACCTCAACTCAGTTTCTATGTCTTATGCTAATATTTGTCACATCATAAAAATAATCTAATAATTAATTGTCCAGAATTATTTCCTGAGATTTTGTAGCTTTCATTCAACCCAGTCTTAGTGAGTGAACTCTGCCACTTTTCTTCATCTAGACAACAACTTTTGGGATTTGCCATTCAAAAATAGGGTTAGGACTTGGAGTTTCAGCTAGTCAGCCAGTCTAATGAGAAATGACTTGGAGGAGACCTAACCCTGAGAAGGGATTAATGAGCATGCTGAGTAAAATAGCAGGCAGCAAAAGATCGGCAGTGAGGAATGTAAGAAAATAATATCCCATTTAGATATTTTATAAATTCCTTGAATTCATATGAAAATTCTCTGACACAGATTCTTGTTTAATCTTTTTCTTCCCTCAACATATGTAACATATAGGAGCAAACTCAAAATTAAACCATTTTTCAGCCAGAATCTCTGCTGTCATATGGCCTGTGTCCATTCAGCCAGTAACGTGTGTGTGTGTGTGTGTGTGTGTGTGTGTATCTCCACTAATTCAAGTTATTTTTCAAGGCCTGTCGCAAATAAGAATGCAGATGGTAGTTTTTGCAAAATTTGAAAACAAATTCTCCATTAATTTTTATCTGAATTGTCCATATTTAATTACATTTGGAAGCGGAATCTATAGTTTATGGAAGCCATGACCTATGGAGGTCAAAACAAATAATCCCCCTCCCTCTCCTCCTCGCTCCTCCTAACACCCCATTCCTGTATCCCTCCCCATGCTCTATTCTGAATAGAGCACAGAGTGTTTCCACCTTCACTGTGCATGGGAACCACCTGAGAGCTTGCTACACCACACACCCTAAACCCCACACCCGGACACTCTAATTCCGCAGGTATGGGGTAGATCCCAATAATTTGCATTTTTTAACAATCTCCCGGTTGATGCTGATGCCGCCAGTCTGTGGCTACATTTTGTTTCACTGGACAACGGTGACCTCTGCCTGTAACTAAGGGGAAGATGATAATGAAGCTGGTGGGTCTATTGGATCTGTGAGGTCTCCAGAACAAAACCACCCCTTTCCTTTCACAGAGGCAAATCCAGAGAAATTCAACAGTCGTTTTCGAAATAAAATGTTCTATGCAGGGGTAAGTATATATTTTATTTTATAAATTATTACATATCATTTAACGCTAATTCATTATGGGTCATATAGATGCTAACTGTACTAAAATGATGGCATATACTAGTACATTTCAGATGTTTACATGTAGGGCTATGTATGGTTCATGTTTAATATGTTGGTTTAAGAAGAAAAGAAAGGATGTCTGTCTTAGGTTAGTTGGCAAAGAGAGAGCTGGTGCCCATCATCTTTGAACTGAAAAGCTCTGAGACTCCATGTTGTTCTGAAGAGATGATATCCAACGAGTAATGTGAGAAACAAACATCAGAGCCAACCCAGAGAATGGGAAATCAGGTAGACTGAAATGTGTAGGGGAAGTCTTAGGTAAGAATGCAGTGTTCACAGGGGTCCGTATGCATCAGTGTTTGGATGAGAAATTGGCAGAGCACAGAAGTATTTTTTGGAAGTGTGTAAGAGATTAAAGGGGCAGCGTCTTTTTCTTTCTCCTCCTGTGGAAGGACATACCTGGGGGTGAATGGCTGGAAAGAAAAAAAAATACCTCCAAAATATTGATATTAGAAATAAGTGTGCTTTAAATTTATACCACTGGGTAGAGGGAATGGAAATATCAGAGTGAGGAAGCAAGACATTCTCAGGGATGTCAATGGAGAAGTCAAAGTCAGGGGTCAAAATAAGTTTTTAAACTAACTGTCGGAATTATCTAATTTTTCACTCTCCTACTGTGAACCTACATTTTCTTATAAGTTATAGTTTGAAAACAAAAAGATTTCAACTTGACAGTCACTGCACTGCTTTATTTTGGATTCATCAAATTATATTTTGGCTTATTTAGCATCATTAGAAACTATATAATACAGAAGCAGGGATTTGGCATAGCCGTGTAATTAAGCTTTTTTTCTTTATTTCCTTGTGGTATAGGCAGCATTTTCTGATTTCCTACAGAGAAGCTCTAGAGATCTATCCAAACACGTTAAAGTTGTTGTAAGTACTGAATGTGTTGACTCATCTCATTTAAATATGAATATGTATGCCACAAAAAATGAACCCCAAATACCAGCTTATACTTAGATTAATCAATGCTCTGCACAGAACCACAGAGATCACTTAGTGTCACTCATTCAGCCAATGTTTATGAGCCTTTAACTATGTGCCGGGCACTGTCTTTATTGCTGGGGATGGAAATAAGTAAGATGACTGGTCTCACTCCTGAATAAACGCACAGTTCAGTCATGGAGAACAATATAATAAATGTTGTCATTCAACTGTGGATGTGATAGGGTGGTGGCACAGAGGAGACATGAAGGCTACCCATGGTGGGTCAGGAGAAATCTTCAGTAAAGAACTGATGCTGAGCTGGGTCTCCAAGTAGTAAGGGATGCTCAACAACAAATGTCTTTATTCCAGGATTGTCCGAGAACTTTGCATTTTAGAAAAGTGCTTTGCTCACTCTCTAACCTGGCCATGGTTCTCTTTTTAATCCTCACCTGAGGAAATGCTTTTATTGTTTGAGAGAGAGAGAGAGAGAGAGCTTGATTCATTGCCTCCCATATGTGTCCCAACCCTAGGGATCAAACTTGCAACCTAGGTATGTGTCCTGACCAGGAATTGAACCTGCAACCCTTTGGTGTGTGGGGTAATATTCCAACCAGCTGAGCCACCCAGTTAGGACCCTGGTCATAATTTTTCATCTCTGAATGGATTCTTTTCTTGGTGCTGTTTCTTCCTGAGTCACTATCCCAGGTTTTGACACACACTGCTTGGAGGCGAGAGTAAGGGGAAATTCTCTTTTCTCTAGGAGATATGTTTTAAAACAGCATATACTAAGTTATTAAGAAATACAGAAAATGTTTTCTCATGGTAATCACGTTAAAAGAAGGAACGAATGTGCTGCATGTAATTGTGTAAGTGAAGGCCAAACAAAAGAGAAACATATATAAATGGGAAAGAAGGAATGGGAATCTAACAATGCTTGAATATATCCTGGCAAAATTAAGAACAGAATATGTGACAAGAGGGGGAAGAATGAAAGATATCCATGAAAATAGATAAAGACATATGTGATTAAGCTAATGGGTATATAGAGGAACACACAGGAGCATAAGAAGATGCAAATTTGTAAATTTTGTAATTCCCAGTAAAACCTATGAGACATGAATCCCTGAAATCAGTTGAGACCAGAGACAGAGGCCTTTACCACTAGTGCTAGAACCCTTGGCATCACATCTCAGTTCTCATGCCGTAAAAATGAAAAGCAGGTATGTTTTAGTAGTTAGCAACTCTTGGAAACGAAAACATTGTCTTCTTAAAGGTAGACACAAGAAAGACACATGGTCCATCGAACTCTAAGGGTCTTCTTTATTTTGATCCTTACTTCAAGCTTCCCCAATTTCTTCAGCTGCCTACATGCCAGCCCCAAATGAACTTAGCTGTTCTTCCCATTATTTCTCACATTTAGAGGAACATCAACAGCATCTCCCTAGAGAACCAGTGAGCGGTGGGCAGTGGCCATCTTGAATGACACCCACTGTTCATGTGAGCTGCATTGAAATTAGACTCGGTATACATCCTCACCACTGGAGACTTTTGCTCCCATGCCTGCCAGTCTTCTTGATGATAAATGTCTGATACATGAATGGCTGTCAAGCAGGGATTAAATGAAGCATGCAGAAAAGTCAACGTGGGAGCCAAATAAGAAAGATTTGATATCAGTTGGTACATGTAATATTTCAGGTGAATTGGTTTATGTGATCATATCTTTTTTTTTCCAATCCTCACCTGAGGATATTTTTTCCATTATTTTTCCAAACTCGCGGCCTTGTTTATTTGGCCCGTGTTAGCCTTTGAGTTTGACATGCTTGTTGTACAGGGAGTGTGGAAGGCAGGGAGGGGGAGAGCCAGAGAGAAAGAGAGAGAGAAACATCTGAGACAAATTGATTGATTGCCTCCTGCATGCTCCCTGACCCAGGGTGAGGGGTGAACCCGCAACCTAGATACATGCCCTTGATGAGGAATAAAACTTGCAATCCTTTGGTGGATGAGCCAATGCTCTAACCCCTTTCACACCGACCAGGGTAATCATATCCTTTTTTATGAGGAGAAAAATACAGAAACTAAGTCTGGACATTTGGGATTCAGTCCTAGGTGTCTTTGTGTGAGGTATATGACTGTGGGGGAAATCATCGAACCTTCCAGAAAAGTTTACTTTCTTCATTTAAAACAGGCATAGCAACACATGTCTTTAAAGTTATTGATAATCATGCTGTGACACAGAGGATATTTCTCCAATGAGGTCACTGTATGCTGTCTTGAGCGTACAGTGAGATAGAAAGGATGGGAAGTAAGCTAGCACAATTAGATGTACATATCACAACAGAGCATCTTTTCTGTGCCAAGGGTAAAGTCAGCATTTCTGAGGTAATAGATAATTATCTCTTACATAAATGTAAAATGTGTGTATAAATACTACACCAGAAATGCAGAGGACAGTAACACAAGCCTGCATAAGGCTTCATTTGCCCTACTTCTGTTTTCTTCTTATCGTGTTGACATCAATATGTAAGCTTGTACACAAGGACATATTTTACAGGTAAGTATTATCCTTTGTATGTGAAGTAAGGAAAAAGTTGAAAACTGCTATTCTAAGGAGTTGTAAATTTAAATGCAATAAAATGTAAGGAAGCTGTGTAAAGCATGATACATCATAAGGTGCCCAATCGTCATATAACTTGTTTTAAATACAATAACATTAGTTACAGGCATTTTTTTCTGAATGCAACAATACTACTTTGCATGCTATTCATGTATCACATTCTATTGTTTTTTTACTTTTAGCTGCTTACAACACTCAATGTTGATAGTCTGAGATGCCTACTTTTTTTTCATTGGTGTAGTCATCTATCAACTCATTTCAAGCCCTTAAATAAATTGGGAGACTTCATGTTTGCTTAGTATCAGAGAATATTGTGAAAACACCTTCAATCAATGTCTAGAATAGGATTCCTATCTAAATAGCATTTTAAATACTTTATTTAGAACTGTGAGATTTCCTGGAAACAGCTTTTGTGAATGCTCAGGAAAATTAAGCTGTATTAAGATCAGCTGGGAAGAGAGAGAGACACCCTTGACCGCTAGCAACTCCTCCTAAAGAAATCTTTAAAAGTTTGCCCAAAGTTTGTCATGTTTTACTGCTCTCCTCACTGGAGAAAATGATAGGGAAATTTTGTGACGAGGGTGTAGAGAGAGCAAATATAAAAGCAGGCTTTATACCTTTGACATTGGGGAGTCTATAGCCATGGCTAGTTTTCATCTTTTGACTTTTGTCACCCGGGGTAAATGAGAAAGGGGAATGAAAGATTTTTCTTTGAAAGTCAGAGGATATTCTTGAGGAAAGCCCTAAAGAAGAGGGAAGCCACACACAAAGGTTTGAGAGCATGCCGGCCTGAGGCCGTTGAGACCCAGGGTCAAGTCCAAACTCCAGTAAAGCAGGTGATCTCTGAAGACCAAAGTCTGTAAGAGATTTACTTTACAAGAGCTAATCACAAATGGAGATGAAGCTAATTTATAATAGATACATTGTGAAAAGCTTGTCTTCCAAACAGCTTTCAAAGTACTGTATTTAACATTTTCAAAATAAAATTTAATCACAAAAAAACAAACAAAAGAAATCACATTCATCACTATTGTTTGAATCGGAAGACTGTGGGGAAGGTCCCTACTGCCTCAACTTGAGCATCATTCTCCTTAGTCTTTTAAGCATTTCTAGATCTTTTAATGCTGATACTGCAAGACTGGATATCTAATAATCATCTAAGGTTAAGAATGATGGTAGTTCTTGTGTCTGGTAAAGCTCTGAGCAGAATTCATTTTCAGTCATGGTAATGGGCATTGACTGAAGCAGAGATTGGGCAACAGGAAGATCATGATATGTACTGTTGTCAACCCAGCTTTCTGTGGCCATTTTTTTTAGACTTGTGACTACTTAAAAACCCTTGCCTTTTCTGCTTTGATTGTTTCAGTGTGATGGAACAGATCTCACCCCAAAGATTCAGGAACTGAAGTTCCAGTGTATAGTATTTTTAAATATACCCAGGTAAGCTCTGTTCATCTGTTTCCTTGGTTTGACCTGAACTCTGTTTGACTTGAGGTTATCTGTTTTCATTATAGAAAATTTCCAGGTACAAACAATGACAATTAGTTTTCTCAGTGGCTTACTTAAATTTTCTAGGTTTGATCATTTTGTTCTCCTACTTGGTTTGTTTATTATTCTCTGTGGTAAGTGGTTTTTGTTTCTTTGGGGAAAAAAATTTTTTTTGCATGATATGGAATTCGTGGTCTATACTTATCCATTCTTGAGAACCCCAGGCACCCCTCTGGATTGGGACATTTAATTTAATTGTCAATTTACTGATCCCTCACCCCCCAAGAATGAATACATTCCTGTCCTCAGTTTCCTGAAAACAATCCAGCCTGATTTCAGGATGGAATTCATTCAGAATCATTGCCAGATGATTGCTTTGACAAAATAGGATCAATTGGAGTAGGGTTTTCTAGCCAGGATGTCAACTCACTTTGGTGTTATTATATATGTCAGGAGAAAGGGGTGTTTGAGATGAACTACTCTCAAAATAAGCACATACCTCAGTGGCATAACATTAGATTCTAGGCTCCCAAGCCAAGATGTTGGGAGGGATGGATCTGTGACCCTTTGTTATTTGCAAACAAGACAACTCAGACACAAACTCTGCAAATAAGTTCTATTTAGACTGAATTTAATTAAAACAAGAATTGTATATAAATCTGTGGTTAGAAAATGACATTATAGTCCCTTGATTATTTTGGCAGTGCTTGGTATAGTTACTTACAGTTCTATTCCAGAAGTATTTTCATCTTAGTTGTTTAAACAGAAGACCTAGAATCTTAGGAAACATTAACTTTCTTTTTTTCCCTCTTTTCTGTACATCTCTCTCTTTCATTTTGCTCCTTTCCCTTCTACCTTCTGGATTCCTAGTCCTCACCTTTTCCATTTTTCTTTATTTTCTTTTCCCTTTCTAATACATTTTTTCATCCCTTCTTCACCCTTTCTTTCTTCTTCAGATAACCTTTCTCTTGTGTTGTGAGTGCTTATTCTCTTGGTTATGTATACAATATTGTTCTGTAGGTACTTATTCTCTTAGTTATGTATATAATATTGATTGCTTACTCACTTCAGTTCCCTTCCCTTTTTCTACTGCCTGGCATGCATCTGTCTTCCTCCAAGACCAAATTCTGAAACCAACCATTGATAACTCACGGCATATCATAGAAAGCAGACATATGTGGACCATAGAGTGATAGTATTGATAAATAACGAATTAGGAGAACATTAGGCATCGTGAAATGCATTTGTTGTAAGATCATGCTCATTTTCAGATTGATATTTTGAAGATGATGGTGAGTCCATTTCCTTTTCCTTTGAAAGATGTACACCAAGAACAGAAAACTGTTCTTCCACGAAACAAACATTGGATCTAACTATAAGTTCATCCCTAATGATGGTCATGAGAGGAATGGAATAAATTTAATTCTTCTCTTAATCTTACCTTGCAGATATTGTGCTGGCACAATGCCCTGGGGGAACCCAGGGGATCACCATGATTTTGAACCTCAGCGTCATGACGATGGCTATATTGAAGTTATTGGATTCACCATGGCCTCTTTGGTGAGCAGTACAACCATTAGAGAGAGATAAATATCATATGATCTCACTTATATGTGGAATCTAATGAACAAAATAAACTGATGAACAAAATAGAAACAGAGGCATAGATACATAGAACAGACTGACAGCTGTTAGTGGAAAGGACTGGATGCAAGAAGGTGAAGGGATTAGCCACATAACATATAGGCATAATCCATAGACAGACAACAGTGTGGTGATGGCCAGAGGGAAGGGGGGCCCGGGCTGGGTAGAGGTAGGCAAAGGCTGGGAAATAAAGTAAAATAAATAAATAAATACAATGTATTTTAGCCACAGTTAGAGTTTTTCCATTTCATATGTCTTTGGTATAATTTTTTCTTTATCAATTTATAAACTTTATGCAACATCAAGTTGCTTGCAGAAAGCCAGAATACAAATTAATTCTTTATGTCACTAAGAAAATTGATTCACATTTGTTTGAGCTTCAAAAATAAATATTCTTTGTTAGTTTTCCTAATTAACTTTCTACCAGAAAAAAATGCAAAGTGTTCATGTTAATTAAAAAGCATTATGTCACAGACATATCCCAGCACGATGCAGAAACCTTGCCATTTGATATTTTTAGGTGTAAAGGAAAGTGGTCATTTGCATATATTTTCAACTTTTCTTTTTAAGTATAAGATGGGTATCTCCTTTGTTACAAAATTCTTGAATATAGAATGGCATCACTTTTGTGACATTAATTAATATTCAATTTCCACAGTATTGAGATCACCTTGTATTTTCATTTTGCTTGCTTGAGTACAAAATACGTTTATATCGAGTAAGTGTAATTTCAAGCAGGTTTTAGCTTGTGGTTCAACTTATTTAATGATGAGGAAACCAATTAAAATAATGCTTATCATTATAGCTGGTGTAAATGAGACCACACTATTAGTTTATAAAACAAATTAAAATAAAGCTTCTACTTGCTACCCTTGGTTAGTACTTGGTTTGTGCTAAACCAGTGGTCAGCAAACTCATTAGTCAACAGAGCCAAATATCAACAGTACAACGACTGAAATTTCTTTTGAGAGCCAAATTTTGTAAACTTAAACTATATAGGTAGGTACATTGTTATTAACTTAATTAGGGTACTCCTAAGCTGGCCTTTGCTAAAAACGTCCTCAATCTGAGGGGTTGACCTCAGCGAACGTACCCCCACTTCTTCTAATGCCACTTCTTCAAAATAGACTTGCCCAGGCCGAAAACCGACTTCTGCGCATGGGCCACGAAGTTTCAATCGCACTGTATGTGCGCGCCCGCACGTGGTATTTTGTGGAAGAGCCACACTCAAGGGGCCAAAGAGCCGCATGTGGCTCATGAGCCACGGTTTGCCGACCACTGCGCTATACCTTATGCTTGAAAGCAAGCAGCTTGTATTCTCTGTCCTAAACAAGCTAGAACAGCCCTCTTTTTTACTCCTCTCATGGATTCCAGTCACTTCAAATACTGAGACTTAATAGAATAACTTATTGTGACTCTGGCAACAATACCCATTACCTGAGATAGTGATGTTGCCATACTTAGAATGAAGTGGTTGTTAAGTATAAAATGTTGGTCTGGGATTGATCTAATTTTCAGGACTGTAGCTCATGCACAGCTCTTTCTCTCAAAAGATCTTTATGTTAATTATAGGAGAAGACTCAGTCAGCCAGGAGCAAGTAGGAATAAAGTTCAAGATGGACATGTGCAAGGACGGATTATTGGAGTTGACCAAAAATGCCCCAAACCTGGCCATGTGTGCTTTACTCATTCATTTATTCACTGGTTTAGTGAACGTGTCTTGAATGTGTACCATGTGCCACGGCTTTCTAGTCTCAACTGTGTGGTAGAAAGCTGCCAGGGAATAATTATCTAAGAGAAGGTTGTTGCTTACCTAGGCTTGGGAGGGCAGGGAGAATATTAGGCACTTCACCATTGCTCTCAGGATCAAAATCTAAATCTTTTCTTGGCCCTGCAAGATTGCGTTTCTCTTCGATTCTCCTGCCGTCCCCACTGCCCTCTTTGTTTTCTTCCTAAGTAGCCTCTGTAGCTTTGGGACGTTCCTTGCTGCTTTTGCACCACAAGGCCATTGCACATGCTATCACTCTCTGAAACGTTCTTCTATAGCTTTTCAGTCCATATCTGTGTCTGTTTTTTCATTAGTCTTTCGGAGTTTGGGTTGTTTTTGCTTTTAATTGTTTAGTTAGCATCTGAACAGGGAAGAAAAGTCAGACTAAAATTGGGTAGAGGAGAGTTCAGTGGAGGGACTCTACAAATTGTGCACTAGGTTTATGAGAAGCAGCAATGGACGGCGTTGTATTCTTGAGCTGAAGGTGCAAAAGCAAGTAAGCAGTCACCTGTACCAGAAAGAGAACTGTTTGGCAAGGATCACCTGAGAGTCATAGTTGCTAAGTGGAAGCAACCAGTCTGTGCCAACCTGGCAGGGAGGGAGCTGGGACAGAAAGTACAGTGATCACACTCTTCTCATCCTCCAGACCTCCTGCTGGTGCTTCCCCGGGGGAAGTTTACCCAGAAGCTAGAGGACAGAGGAACCACTGTATCAGTGTAAATGGGTCAGTCTCACAGGGTCAGAAGAGGGCCAAAAGGGGTAGAGTGCCGGCGGGGAGTAGCAAATGCTAGATATCCATCACTCCAGTGTATCCTTCCCTGGCACACAGTGGAGAGCCTGCGACCTGTAGTTGACGATGAGTAAATGTGACAGAATGGATGAATTTTGCCAGGAGAAGCAGCATGGAACTTGGCATTCTGGAAAAAAGGAAAATTTATATACACTTGGAAGTATGAGAGAGCGTAGTCCTCTGTGGGAATGATAATTAGCTTCATATAGTGTAAATGTGGGTGAAAAGTGAGAATGATAGATGATGCTGAAGAGGCAGGCCCGGGCCAGATCATGGAGTGCATTACAGAGTTTATGTAAGAGTTCTGACTTTATTTCAAGGTTCCTGGGGAATTATTAAGTGTGCTTTTAAAATATTTGTTGTGGGGAAAGTTCAATATAAACAAGGATGAAATAATATGTTGAATCCTCAGGTACCATCACTTAGCTTCTATAATTATCAATTCATGGACAGTATTATTTCTGTCCCCACCTATGACATCCTTCCTTATATTATTTTGAAGAAAATCTCAGGAATTATATAATTTTATCTGTAAATATTTTTGAATGTGTTTTAAAAACATAAGACTTTCCTTTATGAACACAATCATATAATCTTCTCTAAAAAAACATTAAAATAGTAGCATTTGACTACCACTGAATATCTACTCACTGTTCAAATTTCCAGTTGTCTCACATATGCTTTTTGTTTTTTTATGCTCTATTTGTTTGAATCAGAATCCAAATAAAATTCATTCGTTGTGATTGGTTGATATGACTCTTAAGTCTCAGTAAGTCCCCACCCATCTCTTTTCCCCCCATTGAGTTGTTGAAGAAACCAGACTATCCTTTAAAGTTTCCTGGAGTCAGAATTGTGCTGATAACCATGAGGTATCAATTAACATGTTCTCTCGTCCTTGTTTCCTCTAAGTTGATAGTTGGATCTAGATGAATCAGACATGCCCCGTACCCCACTGCAAAACTATTTTGTAGATAGTATTTTCTTTCTCCAAAATAGCAAGGTAATGTCTGGTTATCTCTCTGTTTTTAAATAGTGTTTGACAATCAATGTCTGGATCCACGATTCATTGGGAGTTGAAAAGATGATATTCTAATTTTATCTTCCTCATTTAGTGATTGGAATCTATATAAATAAAAGCCTAATTGACCGTTACCACCAGTCAACTGAATGACAGGTTGACTGGTCGCTATGACACACACTGACCACCATGGGGCAGACGCTCAATGCAGGAGCTGTCCCCTGGTGGTCAGTGTGCTGCCACAGCCAACCTCCTGTGGCTGGCCAATCTCCCCAATCGGGACTGGGTGAGATGGTCCCAATCAGCCCTGATTGCCAGCCAGGCTGAGAGACCCCACCCATGCATGAATTCATGCACTGGGCCTCTAGTATTTTTATAAAGGGAAATTTTTCTTCACCTATTATTTTGTTACTTCTTTATATAGTTTGTGTCAGAAAAGCAGAATAAGTGATCTTTTTCTTTATTTGTGCATTTTAAAATAATAAGTTAGATCATTATCATCCTCTGATGGTTACTGGGGTTATAGAATGACCTCAGATTTTGGGCACTTCTCCTATCAAGGTTCTGGGTGTGTGTACCCTCCCCTTGAATCTGGGTGGACTTGTGAATACTTGTGAAATTGAATACAGTGAAAGTGCTTCTGTATAACTTTTGAGGCTGGACCATTAAAAATTAATTCAGTGTATGTGAAACATGGGCAATATTAATGGTCTCTAATTAATAGGAACTTTATAAATTCAGGGTAATTATTATTTAAAATGTCTCACTGCTTCATTCATTTAATATCAGTCATGAATGTTTATTGAAAATTTGTTGAACCCACAAATACTTATTGAATCCATAAATGACACTCTTCTAGGTAAAGCTGTTATGAAATGAACAAAAAAAAATGCCCACAGTACTCAGGGTGCCCACAGTTCTGTGTTGTGGGGGTAGGTGAAGGAGTAAACAAGCAACCACAGTCTGATGTGATAAATTCTAGGAGGAAGGCATGAGTGAGGATGGAAAGGAGAACTGAGAGCAGAAAAGTGCTTATAAAATGGGAAGTCAGCAAAGATTTCCCAGAGGAGGCAGGAGTCTCTGAGTGAGAATCCAATGGCTATTTCATGGGGGGACTAGCCTCGGAGGTATGTGTGCTAGAACTGCTAATGGTGTTCAGGGTGACCATACACATGGTGAATTAAGATATAGATATGGAGACAGGGTAGAAATAGTAGTTTTTAATTAAATTTATTGGGGTGACAGTGGTTAATAAAATTATATATGACACATCATCTGTACATTGCATTGTGTGCTCACCACGCAAAGTCAAGCCTCCTTCCATCACTATACACTTGACA